AGGCACTGATGAAAGTGTCTCAGGCAGAGCTGCACTTAGCCTGGAACACGTCAGGCTCAGACATTTAAGCTGACAGGGCCTCTAGAAGTCTGATTTCCTACAAAATATTAGAATGCAGTGTCTGGGAAGATACCAGAAAGCAAAATGACTTCAAGAAGATACTCCAACTCACCCCTCTCTGGGCACAGAAAGCAGCTCCAGACACACCACTGCAGGGCTGTCATGACCAAAATGCGGGCTAAGAAAACCCTGGTAACAGGGAGCCTTGCTGGACTCCCTGGGAAGGGAGCAATCCACCTTCCTGCTCCCCACAGCACCTCGCCAGTGCTCTGCAGCACAGTGGTGAGACACACTCATTTCAGGTAACACCCACAGGCTCTGCTGTGCTGGGCAGCTCAGGGCTCTCCTCACTCACCTTTCCAAAGCACTGTAGGCTCCTGTAGCTGATCCTGGGTTGATGTAGAATTTTTTTTCATATTCAAATGCTTCAAACCTGTGTGTGTGTCCCGAGATGAGAATGTCCACATCCAGCTGCCTCTGCAGCAGTGCCAGACTGGCTGCATCACCCCAGGGAATCACTTGATGGCCATGAATCAGCCCGATTCTGAACTGCCCAACGGTTACAACCTTCTTTTCAGGATAATTCAGGCTCTGAGGAGAAAGGTACAGACAATAAATCAGTCAAGGACCCCTCATTTACGCAATGCAGCTTCCAAGACACCAACCTGCCCTTCACTATTCAGGCACACGAGGTCTCTCTCCCCGTGCAGATCCCACAGGATGCTTGTACCACACCCCAGCAAGAGTAACTTCAGAGTAAAGAGTTAGGAATTTGCACAGAGAGCAGGAGACTTTAACTGGGTACCTAAATGTAAATAATCACACACACAGAATTCCTGCAGCTACACGGCCAGCTGGGGCACTGTGGCCTCAGCAATCACAGACTTGTGCCTGAGTTCATAGGAACCAGGTGCATGTTTTACCCCCTCACACTCAGGCTCTCCTGTTGCAGGTACAACAAGAAAGGTCTAGAAAATAATTTTTTTTTCTTTACTCTTACTCATTCCTACTCCTTATTCAGGTGAATTACAGTTCAGGAATTGGTCAATGCTGAGGGACTCCCCAAGATTCATGAAGACAACCAATGCAGGAAGGCAGGCTGAGGAACTGTTACCTCCGAGTCCCCCCTAACGATGTGGATGTCCCCAGCCAGCGTCCTGAGGTAGTCATAGCTCTCCTTGGTGCAGAGGTTTCCCGTACACAGGATGTGCTGAATCCTTCCTGGAACCAGCAGCTCCTTGAACTTCACGGGCAGAGCACTGCACCGGTGCGGGATGTGAAGGTCCCCCAGCACTAACACCAACTCCGCACACACCGGGGGGAAAGAGAGAGCCTTAACCCAGGTTACTTAACAGAACAGCACAAAAACAGAATACCACAAAACCCTGCTGCGCTCCTTTTCGAGTCAGCTCCGATGAAACACCCTTGCGCTCGCCCGAGCCTCCCCGCACAGACAGCCCAGCCCAGCCGGGCAGCGCCAGGAGCCCTCGCTCGGCACGCAGCCAGAGGTGGGGAACGTGTTGCCCGGGGGAAGCTGAGGCGGGGGGCGCCGCAGCAGTGGGGAGAGCCGGGCCAAGCCGCCGCCCCAGGCTGAACCCACGGGCAGGGAAGCAGCGCGGGTCCCCCACCCGCCGCTCACCATCCCGCCCCGCTCCGGTCCGCCCGCCCCGCCGCCCTGACGCGCACAGAGGTAACCAGAAAGTGGCGCTCCTGATTTTGTGCTCCCCTGAGCCAATGGCAGCGCCAGCAGCCCCCACGTGATGTCAGCGCCTGCCGCAGGGTCCTAACGCCCGCTGCTGTGCGCGGTGAGCATGCGCAGTGTGGCCACCCCGGTGGTGGCGCTGAATTTTGTGGGATTTCTGTGGGAAAATCCTTCATCTTTCTGTGTGAAAACGTCCTTGTAAAGGACCCACAGGTGCCAGCGGGGTTACACGTGTCCCTTTTCCCTCAGGAGCTGTGGTGGGCCGTGAGGGGAGGGGGACAGGGCAGTGTGGGTGGAGGTCTCTGACTCCCCGGGGATGAGGGGCTGCTCCAGGGATGGGTGAGGGCTCCATCCAGCCCAAGGGATCCCACCAAGGGCCACAGTCCGCCCTCCCGACTCAGGTACCCCGGGGCCACCCCGCGGGATGACCTCACACACGACACGAGCCCTGTAGGTAAGGATTAACCTTTATTACCAGATGAGCCAAACTGTGCGGAAGCCCAAGCCGGATCAAGGCTACTGAGTGCTGGAAGAGCCCAGGAAAGTTGGGCCACAGCGGAGCCCTCCATCCATCCTCCTGCTGCAACAGGAGTCCCTGGCAGGTCTCGCACCGTGTCAGGCTCTCCAGTGCTCCATGGGGGAAGTTTGGGGGCAAAGAGGAGGTCGCTGCGCTTCCCAGCACAAGGCAGTGCTGCTGGGCCTGCTCAAGCGTGCGAGGAGGTCTTTTTCCATCCCTCCCAGGGCTGCTGCTCTCCCTGTTGAGGGCTTTGCATCAGGGTTGCAGAAAGGGCACAGAGAGCTTTTGTTCCCTGTTTCTAAAACCACTTGAAGGCAGGTGTCAGGGCGCAGTAGTAGGTGCCATTGTCCTCCTGGCAGGCGGAGGCGATGGTGAGGATGCAGGTGTTGCTGGCGAGGTCCTTGGTAGCAGAGAAGCGGTCGGGAGTCTCGTCAGGCTTGTGCATTTCTCTTTCGGAGTTGTAATAGAGCAAATACCTCAGGGCGTGCCCTGGGCGCTCCTGGAACCAGGAGATGCCAAACTCGGTGATGTTGTACTGGGGGCTCAGGGTGCAGAACAGCCGGGCCGTCTGCCCGGGCAGCACGAACAGGGAGGAGGGCTGGGTCAGCACGGGCTGAGCCCTGCAAGCTGTACGCAGCAAGAATGCAGTTACTGATGGGCTGAGCTGTGCCCCCCATCACCCTCAGCCCAAAATGTCCCTCAGCCCCTTTGAGGCAACCCCATTACCCAACCACCATCCTGCTTATCACCCCACACAGCCCTGGAGCAAAATGCCCTGCTCAGATTGACATCCCCTTGGACAGCCCATTCTGCCCACCACCCTGCAGTGCCCCCCCCCAGACAGCAGCTAACTCGGCCACCCCATCCTTACCTGTGCCCACCGTCCCCAGCAGGAGCAGGACCATGAAGCCCAGGGCCATGGCAGGAAGCAGAGGAAGGGAAGCTGTTTCAGAGAGGGTCTGTGGTACTACAGGAACCCAGGTCACTGTGCTGATGGTGCCGGTGGGGTGTATGTAAATGACACAGGGGGCTCAGGGACTCAGCTCCCCAGGGCTGCTCGCTCTGCTGCAGCTGGGCTTCAGGGAGAGGGGGAGAGCTGAGCATTGTGACCCAGTGCCCTCCTTCACCCCAGGCCATTTCCTCCAGCTGCACCCACAGCCAAACCCACCACCCTCTGTCCTGGGCACTGGGGAGGCATCACTGACCATCTCTCCTCACTGATGGAGAGAGCATAGGGGTTTCCCTGGGGTCTCACACTGTTTGCCTCAGGCCCTCTGCCATCAGGTGCACAGGAGGCCAGGAACCTGATCCATACCATGCCAAGGATGCCCTGTGGAGGCAGCAGGCTGGGGGCCAGCTGGTCCTGCTGCTACCAGGGAAAATGAAAGACAGGCTGTACCAGAGTTCCCTGGCAGCCATCTCATTGCAGAAGTAGCACAAGGAAAGTTGCTGCTCCCTTCCCCCTGCAGCTCCATTACTGTGATTTCTCAGCCTGCAGTACAGGCTGGGAGCTGCCGATGGTGCTGCCTCTTTGCCAGGGCCAGCTCTGGAACAGCAGCCATGGGCAAACACGGTGGGGTGGCTGCCAAAGGCACCGGTCAGAAGGCATTTCCCGAGGGAGCACTGCAGTGGGAGGTGGCTGCAGCACGGCTGGTGCTGTGCGGAAGGACAGCAGACCGTTACAGCCAAAGGCCACCAACTCAGCGGGCGTGAAGCCCCTCCTGTCTGTGACACCCATCACAGGGCCCAGAGTCACCGTGTCACACAGCCACCAGCGCATAGCTGTCCTTTGCAGCAGCATGGTCAGCAGGCACTTGGCAGTGTCCCATAACTGGTGGGTACCTCCTGCCCTTCACAGGCAGGTTCAGGCTCCACCCAATGCCACCACATCACCACCCAGGGATGGCCAACTCCCTCCCCTCTGCAGCACCCAGCCCTGCTCCTGAGGTGTCCCCAAGCCAACAATATTTGTAAGAGATTCCTGAGGTGACTGGCCTGTATGTGCTCTGGGTGTGAGGGGAAACGGAGCTCTGAGACAGAGCTAATGAGCTGCCTCATTAGAGCACCCAGCACTGTGTCTCTGGCACGGGCAGATCCTGGAGAGGAAGCACCACCATCACTCAGGGACGTGATACAGGAAGCTGGACTCCTGCTGTGCTGAGCCACCCTGCAGAGCTCTGGTGCACACAATCATCTGTCTGCTGCATTCTGGGCCCCTCAGAGTAGCTGTGACAGAGCAGGGTCCCCTCCTGCAGTGCCCTGCAGCAGCGAGGGGCCTGTTGGACCTGACAGGGCCGTACAGCACCTTGCACAGCTGGCTGCAGGGGTTGCTGTGGGGCAGGAGGGCAGCAAGGGCTGTTGTACCCCTGCCAGGGGGATGTGGTGCCACACAGCAGTCCCTGCACATGCAGTAGAGCCTGGCTGTGTCCCACCTGGGTAGACCTGTTCTATCAGATTTATTAGAGGCAGCCACAGCTGCATGAGACCAACTCCAAAGCCCATCCAAGGCTGAAGCTTTGCCATGGTGTCTCCTGGCCTTGTGGAGTCTTCCCCTGCAGGTATCAGCAACTTGTGTTTCATGCAGCCAGGCCCCCGAGCTCAGGGTGGTATGAGCACGCTGCAGACACAGCTCCAGCTGTTGCCCACCAGCACTTCCCCAATTCTGCAAGGTGGTGGCAAAGTGAACATGAATTTCCCTGCACGTGTGTCCAGGTGAGGAAGTGTCACATCTACACTTGCCCCATGCTCCAAGCAGATCAAGTCCATGTATTAGACAGAGACTGTGAAACAAAACCCAGTAAGGCAGAAGGAAATCACCTCCTCATGCAAGGAGGGGCATTTCAGGGAAAGGGAATTTGTCCACAGAGCAGTGGATTTGCAGCACATCAGTGCTGTTACTGGTTCCTACCATTCAGGTCCTCCCCATCTGCTGACCAGCCCAGGGACATGATTTCATCCATATGTTTTTCCACAGGAAGAGGGGATGACGCTACTATGCCCCCAAACCACTGCTGCCAGAACACTTCACAGCAACATTTGGGCACCAAATGGAAGATGCAGCTGGCACATGAGCCACGTGCATCACTCTGACAGCCCAGGGGGACAGGAAGGTACTGGCTGCGCACAGTGCAAAAGCAGCTACGAGCCCAACCCCGTGCTCACCCTGTTCTGCCAGCTTTATTCCCTTCCTGCATGAGAAATGAGAGATACTCAACAGAAGGAACTCACACATGCAAAGGGAGTTTTATTCCAACTGCCCACAGTTCCTCCTAGTCTGCAATACCCCACTGCCTTGAGCTCCAGAGTAGGACCAGCACAGGAAGGGTCCCCAGGAAGATTTTTCCAGGGGCATCCAATCATCTTTCAGAGGAGGCCACACTGCCCTTGCAGCAGTGCTGGGCTCAGCTGGGAGCAGGGTGGGCAGATGTGGCACCACCACAGCCCAGATGAGCTGCAGGACAAACAGGGGCAGGAAACACCACAAGACTGCAAAAAGTCTGAAATTCAGACTAGCTGGAACCACATGGAGCAGGCAGCCTTCCAAAAAGGCTGCTGTTTAGCTCAGTCTCTGCTCTACCCCCCCTTCTCCCACCCCGCAGCTGCAGGAGACTTGGGAACCTGCAGGGGCCATTCCTTGTTGCTGGGAAATCTGGCTACTGAAACCACAACAGCGTCAGTGGCAAACACAGCCTGTTCCCTGGGCACTCCAGAAGCTCCCACCACTGCCTGCAGGAAGGCACCCGGCACGAGCAGCCCCTCAGCACAGGCCTGGGCCCCCACCAAAGGAGAGCAGCTCTGGGAGAGGAAAACCATGTTCATCACAGTGAGATACGGAGGTATGTGGGGAGAGCTCCAGCCTTGCCTCAGCTCTGGGCCAGACACCCACCTGGACACCCTCACCACCCCCACAAGGGGCAGGGAGGGACAGGGCACCATGATGAACAGCAGTGCCCAAGGGTTTGGGAACATACAGGAGAGCTCTGCACCCTGCATCTCACCTGTTTTAAGAAATATAATGCCTAGACACTGAATCGTGGAGGAAAACCACACCAGTAGCGCTGAATTAATCACAGGGAGGGAGGGCAGAGGCAAGGATGAGTTCCCAGCCTGACAGCTCTGGGGAATCACTGCAGGGAGGGGCCCTGCTTACCTACGCACAAGCAGAAAAGCCACGGGTCAAAAGTGCCAGCTGCCAGCAGAGCTCTTCTGCTCCTGGCTGTGTGGGAAGGGTTCCCTGGCTCAAATCCTGACCCTCAGCTTCAGAGAACAGGTATTTGTGGCTGGTAGGAGGGAATGAGCAGCCCCTCATCTGACCTCACCCAGTTGGCCGAGAGCCTTTGCCTGACCCCAGACACTCGTGTCTGAAGGCATCAGACACACACAGTCCTAAGCCTTTGCTCCCTCTGCTATTTGAATTGGATCCCCAGCTCTGACCACTGACGTGTGTCAGCTTTGGGGATTTCTCAATTGTGACAAACTTGGTGAGAGTTCATGGCCAAAATATCCCCTGGTGACTCAGCCACAGTCTCCAGTTCTTTCCCCTTGTGACTGGGACCAGCTTGTGGAATGGGACTGGCAAGGACCAGAGCTCACTGCTTTTTCCTACTCATGCTCGATGAAACCGTGTTGAAGGACAGAGACACTTCATCAGTCAGAACTATTTTTCCCAAATCAAAGTGTTTATCCCCTCCCCTAACCTGGGGCACTCCCAGCACCAACCACCAGCAGACATGGCTGTAAAGGAGCAGCTCAAAGCCCTGCTGATGCCACATGGAGATCCTGCCTTTGCTGGCTACACAGTGGGCACTTCTGAGCCACCTGTTGTGCCTCCTGCCACATCCATGGGGCTCCTGGATTTGACGTGACCACGCTCACATCTCGGGTCTCATTCTCTGTCTGCAGCCAATTGCCAAGTGATGGTGAACCTGCAGTGCTCTGTTCTGATCCTCACAACTCACCTGAAGAGGAAGTGTCAGTGCAGGCCTGAAGGTACGAGTGCTCCTGGGCAGGGGGCTCCGAGGGACCAGCACTCACCCACAGAGAGCAGCAGAGGGTATCAAACAGGTCACATGGGAGTCACAGACCATCCCAAAACACAGGGAAAGGGGCAGCAACCTCAAAACCTTTGTAGATTCTCTTCAAAGCTAAATTGCTAAGGAGAATACTCTAAACCCCACAGGCTCATGCTGGCCACACAGGGACACACTGGGCTTCCTTCACCATGTGTCTCTCCCTCCAGACTGCATCGATCTTCTGGATGAAACAGGCACCCTGATGAACCTGAGCAAAGTGGAAAACCCTGCATCCGAATACACCAGTAAATACCTCCGGGAAAGGGAGCACTACATCCTCATCAGAGTCATCCGTAAGATCCTTGTTGGGACAGCACAGCTCTGGGTGGGGGCAGAGGGGTGGGTTTCCAGAGCGGCTCTATTCAGCAGTCACTTGGACAGAGCACAGGAGCTCTGAGGAGGCAGAAGCCAGCTCAGATGAAGAGCTAGAGCTGAACCTTTGTCTGAGGTGACTGCTCTTGGGGACAAGGAACCTTTTGTGGGCTGAACCACCTGCCCCAGTAACAAACCTTTAGTTTGCAGTCAGGAGAGAGACTAATCCATTTCTCCCATTCTGCTGGCAGGAGACAAAAACTCTGAAGCCACCTCCTATGAATCCTTGCTAGAGGACCTGGAGAAACACTACCCTGACCTAACAGGTAAGAGCCAGACACCCAGAGAGGAGCCAGGGGTGCTGGCATGACTCCTCTCCCCACCTCAGCCCTTGCTCAGCACCCATGGGACTGCCCTCTGATCCCACTTAAGGGCTGGTTATGGCTATGGCAGTGAGTGCACTCAGGCAGCAAGGGAAGGGACAATCAGAAACCAGAGTTGGTTTGCAGAACACTTCCTAGTTAGTGGGACAGCAGGGACCTGCTACCCTCCCACCCCACAGCAGGCAGATGCCTGCCCAGCTTGCCCTCAGCAAAGAGTGAACATTTCCTTGGAAGAAATGGGGAGAACAGGAGAAACTGGGAAATCCAGAAGTGTCTCTCCCAGGCTGTGGTCTCACAGGGTGGCAGTGCCTCGCTCAACATGCAAGGGGCAACTACCCACCCAGCAGAACACACAGCTCTGGAGGGGGTTGATCACTCCACAGATCGGCTGCAGCAGCTCTCGGCAAAGACCCAGAGGAGAGACCAGTGGAGGAAGGGAACCTCGCAGAGGAAGGCTCAACCCCACACCAGCACCCAGTTAAGGAACAGAACCACCTCAAAGAAGAAGAGGGGCTCAGAGTTCAAGAAGACCCCTAAATGACGAAGAGACCCATTCCTGGTCACACGCACAGCACAGCCACCACCAGGACTCAGCCACCTCCCCAGCTTATTCCAAGTTCAGCAAGAGTCCCCTGCTACTGAGATCCTCTTCCCGGGGTGCCCTGCTCCTCAAAGGTTCACACTACCACATCCAAAGCTGCATCCTGACAAACCAGGCAAATACAGCGCCACAGCCAGGCACAAGCAGCATCCAGGGGGTCACTCATGTTCCCATGGCATGGCCTGCACTCTCCAGTAAGAAGAACCTGCACCTCCTTTCAACCCCGCTGCACCAGCAGCCAGAGGAACGTGCACCCAGATCACTGGATGGACCGGCTTTCCACACAATCACCACACTGGCAGTGCCTTCTAGAGACTCTCCACTGTGGTCACCAGGAAAGGCTGTTCCAGAGACAGCCCATCTCCACAACTACAGAAGCAGCTCTTTGCCAAGATGGGTCAAAGACAGAACAGACCTGCTGCAGATGCTCCTGCTGGTTTTCCTTAACAGCTTCTCCACCCAGACCAGCACACACCAACATTACATCTATTTCTGAAATGGAGTTAACTTCAGAGTGGTTCTCCCCTGCTCACACTGGGACAGTTCAGGACACAGAGCACTTTGGCTTTGAATCTCTGACATCTACTTTTTCCCTTGGCTGTTTCTCAGGAGAGCACAAGGCACCCCAATAAGGCCAGATAGAGCTAAGAACATTATCTACCAAGAATTTAGATTATGACATTTAGAAGTGGCAGGACTTTCAACACCAGCCTCCAATATCTGCTGCCAGCATTTACCATCTAGATCTGGATTTCCTCACAGATCCCAGCTGAGAACTTGTCCAGTATTCAACAGTCAGAGGTCAAAAGGTTAATAGACTCATTCTGCCATGAAAATGCATCAGTTAAGCATCTGAAAGTGTCATGGTTTCACTGCTGTGCCACCAAAACTCCATCTGAAGCCTCAAAATTCTCTTTTACACCAACATAAAGAACAGGGTGCTCTGCCAGAGGCCAGCCTGAGGGCAGCACTCATGAGACTGTTCTGCCAAGGTGACTGTAAGAGGAAAACAGCTCCAAACTTCACCTGTTGCCGGTGACCTTGAGAACATTGCATAATCTGCTAAAGCTTTTAAGTAAGATCAGCCAACTGTACCCAAGGTCCCATAGCCAGACAGGTCACACTGTCTTAGCTCTAAGTCAGAACAGCTCTCCAAGAAGAGGATATCTATAGAAAAATAATTTGTTACTAAAAATACTCTAGACACATCTTGGATTACCTCTCTCCAGCCTCTCCTCTGCCTGGAGGGCAGCCAGTGCAGCCTCAGCTGAGGTCTGGATCTCTTTTTGCCAAGTCATGCAGGCTCTGTCCTTGCTAGGCTGCACCTCCTATTTGCAGGGAACACACAGTAGTGCCTTGTCCTTTAAGCAGCTGATACTGTTAACATTTTGGCAGCTTAATTTTAGCTTGAGAATTAAATAAAGAACGTGCACAAGTGATAGGTCCAAATAAATTCCTTTATTTCTCTGTAATAAATATCGCACTATCTGAATTCTAAAGACCCTTGGGTCCAATCATTCCTTTCCTTCCCTACTAGTTCAGAAGTGAATTACCACTAGAATGCTCCTGTCTGGTCAGTCTACTCCCTCCAGCTCACTCCCTGTCTGTCCTTCTGCTCCCCATATATAGCAGGGCTCTACACCACGATCCTCTTCCCTACAAGGGGGCAGATTCTTCACAGGAGAGAAGAAACACCTACAGGGAAGAAGCATAAGTTCAGCATTAGGTACGTGTTCCAGCAGCTAGAATTAAAAGCTCTGTTATCTCAGGTGACCAGATCAAGACCTAACTTCTGACAACAACTTATAATAAATGCAGCAAGAATTAGAGAATCAGCTAGGGAAAAACAGCAGGCTTCCCACAGCAGCAAAAGAGGATCTGCTAAGAGGGCACCTACAGCCTTCCCCACTTTCAGAAGTATGGTCAAGATCATTTCTCCCACCCTTTCTAGTTCCCTTCTGGGAACATAGGAGGCAGAACCACTTCCTACAGCCCTGAAGAGCACTACAGCCTTAAAAGATCGCTTCTGCAACCTTCAAACCCTCTCAGGTACTCTCGTGGCAGCAGTTCCCTCCTGCAGGAATGGGGCACACTCACCGTTGTTATACTTGCACTGCTTCAGAGCCTCGTTGAAGCCCTCGCACAAGGTCAGGTCTTGCTGATTGGTGGCACAGTCCAGGAACTGCTTCATCTCATAGTGGCAGGGTCCGAAGGGCGACTGCGGCTGCATGGGGGGCTGCGGGCACGGACCCGGTCAGGGGGCGGCCCGGGGGCACCGACGCCTCCTCCCCGCGGCAGGAGGGCTCTGTCCCTCCTTCCCCGCCAGCCCCCGGTCCCCTCTGCCCCGGCCCGCCCGCCCAAGGGCAGCCCAAGGGCACAGCCCCGCTCGTACCTGTGCGGGCGCCGCCGCCTTGGCCGGCTCGGAGGAGGAGCCGCCGCTGAAGGCGCCGGTGATGGCGCTGCCCACGACGTGTCCCACGGCGGAGCCCACGGCCACGCCGGCCGCCGTGCTCGCCATCTGCGCCATCAGCCCGGGCTGCGCCGGCTGCGCCGCGGGCGCCGCGACCGGGGCCGCTGGAGCCGGGCTGCGGAGAGAAGGGAGTCAGGAGGGGCGGCACAAGACCCGTGTGTCACGGTGTGCCGCGGTGTGCCCTGTGGTACCTGGCGGGCGCCGGCGCGGCCGCGGGCCGAGCCGCGGGCCGAGATACGCTCCGTCCTCCCCTCGCCATCGTCGATCTCCTCTTCTCAGCGCGCCCGCCCCACGCGTCGCCTTAAGAAGGGCCGTCGCTGCCACGTGACGCCGTGCGCATGCTCAGTCAGGCGGCCGAAGCCGCGGCCCCGCCCCGCTGAGGGCAGGAGGGGATCCCGCCGAGCGCATGCGCAAAAAGAGCGAGGCGGGGGGGTCTCCGGGCTCCTCCCACCCGCTCCCGCGAGGTCCGTGCGCCGCCAGGGGGCGCGCGAGGCCCGTCGGGCCCTCAGGGAGCGGGGAGGGGGCGCGGCCGGGGGTCACTGAGCTACGGGATTATCGAATCAGTGAGTTATCGAACTGTCGAACCAGTGAATCAGTGAATCGTTAAAAGGCCTTTGAGATCATCGACTCCAAGCGTTCACCCCACACCGCCAAAACCACCGATAACCCGTGTCCCCAGCTGCCCCACCCACACGATTTCGGAACACCACCAGCCTGTGCCAGGGCTGGACAACCTTTCAGTGAAGAATTATTTCCTCATATCCAATTGAAACCTCCCCTGGCACAACTTGAGGCCAATTCCTCTTGTCCTGTTGCTTCTTACTTGGGAAAAGAGGCCGCCCCCCACCTGGCTCCATCCTCCTTTCAGGGAGAAGCAGGAATGATTTATACTCGTGTGATGGCTTCTGCCTCCAGAGCAGACACGGACCATGGTTCTGCTCACTCCAAAATTGGAATTGACTTTGCATTTCAGTCTGTGCTGCCCTAGTCCAAATGGGACAACAAACATGGGTTCAGGGGTGAACTGGTACCTCGCTGTGCCCAAATTCAGCAGCTGCCAGTGAAGCCACTCACCTTCTCTAGGGTCACTGGCCATAACCTGGCTTAGCCCGTTTTTGTGCTCCCACCACTGGATGAAGGCCACGACTGCTGCAGAGCCACGGAGGGACAGAGCTCTGTGCACTCCAGGCAGGGCAGGAGGGGAGGGAGCAGGGAGGCACTGCTGGCAGGTGATGAGCTGAGCACAGCAGCTCCCCCATGATGGTTAATGAAGGTGTTGTGACAAAGGAGAGCTGCAAGAAGGGCAATGTGGTGGCTTTGCAAATGCTCAGAGCGTGCTTCTCCCAGGTGTGGAGCAGAGCAGGAAGGAGCATGAAGGGGCTTGTTGGGAATGGGCATGGAGAGGGCCTCTGTTGCATGGGAGACAATGGGTGGAGGAGAGGTGGATAATGATGGGCTGGGAGAGGGAAGATGAGCACTCCACAATTGGGGCAGAGAAAAGAGGGTGCCAGGGAGGAGCTCAGAGAGGAATGATGTGGTCTAAGCCATTGGCCAGCACAACAATTTTTGCAGCAGCCCTCTGGATACAAACTAGGAGATCAAGGAACACTTTGCAAGGCGTGGACATTGTTGGGCAGTAGGAATCCATGAAAAGATGATGATGAGCCCTCAAATCACGAACAGACAGGCTGGATGACGCCAGTTTTACCTTCAAACCAATTTCCTGACAATCATCTTTTCCCTGGCACCCCCGCTGGTCTCCAGGGCCTCTGTTGGTCCGTGTCGGTTCAACATCTCCCCAAAATGGCCCTTCTTGCCAGCCCCATCTTTGGATGTTCCTTATGCCCTGTGGAGTGAAAGGAATTTCCAAAATTGAGAAGGATCCAGAAGTTGTCCAGGAAAAAAAAAAATCCCAGCTATGTTATGTCTCCAGGGCTGTGTTCGTATATTCAGCACGTTATGAAAACCAGCTCTTTGGGCTGGTTCATTGACTGGCAGGAATTAGAGAGCTAAGTCACTGCAGGACTGGCAATTAGCTGCTGTGTAAGTGTTTTTGTAGAGTCAAATTTCCAGCACGAGGGGAAGAGAAAAGCGTTTGTAAAGCAAGCCGCCCCCTCTGCGCAGGAGCTGGGCGGGCGGGGGGAGCTGCATTTCCCGAGGAGAGAAAGGGATTGTGTCTCAAACAAACACCACTTTAGTCTCCTTGTCTGCGGGGTAACACCCCCAAATCCTTCCTCCCGCAGCGCCTGGCCCGGGAGCTGTGCAGTTCTGCTTTCAGCTGGAATAGCAGCATTTTACATCTGGCATTTGCCTGTCTTTTCCCACTAATAGAGAGGGGGCCAAGCAACTGTAAAACCAGAGGAATGTGACTGGAAAGCCCCCGCCTCAGCAGCACCTGCACTTTTTCCTTTTCCCAGCCACAGGTCCCGGAGGAGCAGGGTTCCCTTCCTTGTGCAGCCCCATCCTGATGAGCCGGGAGCACTTGTCGGCAAACAGATCTTAAAGGCAGGAGAGAGAAAAGGCAGGAGGGAAAACAAGGGTGACCTCAGAGAGCCCTTTGGTGCAAGAAACCCCCGGGGAGAGAGCTCAGCTCTCTGCCATCAGCATGTGAGCGTGGACGAGCCATCAGGGTGTGGGGCTGGGGCCGACACACCACGGGCTCCTTTCCCTTCTTGGTTTTTCCTGGCCATAGGAAGAAGCTCAGCATGTGCCGGGGGGAGGAGAGGACAGACTTGCAGGGGGTGCAGGGAATGCCAGAGCTCCAGCCATAAGAAATCAGGATTCATTAGTTCCACCACGTGCAGAACAACTTGCTGAAGGAGCCTGGGTTTCAAGCTGAGCGCGTCCCTCTAAGCTGCGTCTGGGGGACCCTTTGATTTGGTTAATTAGACACAAAGTTTTTCTGTGCAGTGGGAGGCCGGGTATGTGCTGAGGAGCAAAGCTACCCTGGGCTTACTAATGAGATAATTTATTGTGGCTGTCTGAGAGCCTGAGTGTACACAACTCCACCCGCACACACACCACCCACTGCAAGCCCTGTGCTCCCAGCTGGAGAGTCCTCAGCACCGGAGGTGGAAGTACTGTGGCAGGTCTCCCTGTGAGAGCCCTGCCGAGGAGCCATCCTCTCTCTGGGGGACTGCTGCAGGAGGGCCCCGTTTGCATCTAAATATCCCTGCAACAGTTTTCTTCCCTGGCCAAACTTCCTAACTCCTCTGTTTTTCAGCCTAAACTCCTTACATAGTTCAAGTGTTAGGGCTTGCCTGCACTTGAAGGTTGACTCTAGATTTAGGGACATATAAATCTGAAAGATAGTAACTAATTCCTGAATACTTCTGGAAAGATTGACTGAAACCCAGTAATTTCTGAATAACAGTGCACTGGCTGGCCAGCACCTCCCCTCCTGTTAGCAGCAGGAGCAGGTAGGGCAAGGTTTGTAAAAAGCAGGTTTGTTTTTTCCAAGTGCTTTCTCCCCGTTGCTCTAAAAGCAGATCATAACCTCCCCCTTCAGAGTTTGCCTCACTTAAATCCTCACTCTGTCACCGCTGAAATGTGGCTACAAAGAGATCTAGGAATTCCCCAAGCATTTGAATCTCAAGGGGTTGTTTCACAGGTAAGGAATGCAACACTGGCCTCCCTGTGTCTCCTACCTGTCTCTGCCCCTCTGTGGGGCGACACCATGGGTCTTTACCAGGCTGCAGTTTCACGGGGCGCTTGCTTGGGGGGTGGTGACACCCAAAAGTGTCACATTTCTGCAGAAAGCCCTCTCCACACAGCCATGTCACGCTGTGGATTGTCCCTGCCCGGTCCCTGCCATGGGCCACCACCAGCAGGTATCCATCTGGGGATGCTGCTGGAGCCTCCTGCCTCCCGAGCTGCAGGTTTGCGCTTGGGGAACCCTAATTAGTGCATGCAGGGGCAGATCTGGGCAGTGCTCTGGGTGTACCTGAATTTAAGTTATTTAGGTTAA